TAGAAAAGAGCTAGATCGCCGACGACCCGCCGGTGCGAAAGAGTCCCGAGACCGTCTGTTAGAGAAGAGTCATCGATCAGTCGGACCGCCCTCCTCTGGACAGCATCGAGCATGGACAATGTAGTCGGGGCGGCAGCACCCCAAATGTGTGAGCAATACTCGAGGCTAGGCCTTATCTGGGCCTTGTATAGAGTGAGAATGTCATGCGGAGAGAAGTACTTCTTAGCCCTGAACAAATAGCCTAGCTTTTTCCCAGCAGCTACAGCTATTGAAGAGATGTGTTCGTGCCAGATCAGGTCCTCGGTGATCTGGACTCCGACCAGCCGAAATGAATGGCTCTTTGGTAGAACTCGACCGTCCATCGAAACTGTATGAGCGCTAGGACGCTTTTTGTTCGTCAAAGTACAGTACTGTGTTTTGGAAGCATTGAACTGTACAAGATTGTTGCGTCCCCAAGCAGTGATAGCCTCCAGGTTTCTTGTCAGAGAAGAAGTCGTCGCTAGTCTTCTTTTTTCCAGCTCAGCGGCAGAGATCGGCTTGTCACTCTGAATTCCTGCATGTAGAGTGCTGTCATCAGCGAAGCTGTGGATTGGGTTGATCGTGCAGGAAAGGAGGTCGTTGATATGTAAGAGAAACAGTGTTGGAGCCAAGACCGATCCCTGGGGAACACCCGCGTTGACGTTGTGGGATGAAGAGGAGAATCCGTCAATTACGACGGATATCTTGCGGCCAGAGATAAAGTCAGCCACCCATCTGCAAAGCTTTTCTGGGAGGCCCTAGGATGGAAGTTTGCTTAAGAGGGCAGCGTGCCACAGATGATCGAACGCTTTCGTGATGTCAAGAGCAACGACATGAGCCTCACCATGAGACTGGATGAGTTTACTCCACAGTTGCGTGACGTAAGCTAGGAGGTCCCCTGTGGATCGTTGGTGCCGGAAACCGTACTGCCTGTCGCTAATCAAGCTGTGACGTTCGAGGTAGTCCAGAAGCTCGCGATTTATGCACCTCTCCATCACTTTACTTATGACAGAAAGCAGATCTATAGGCCTGTAGTTGTAAGGGTCGGTTTTAGATCCTTTTTTTGGGATGGGTTGTACATGAGCAAATTTACAGTTTTCTGGGAAGGTGCCGGATTCATAAGATATCTGGAAGAGACGCGAAAGAACTGGAGCAAGCTCCGCTGCACATCTCTTCAGTACAATGGCAGGAATCAAGTCCGGACCAGAAGCTTTGTTGATGTTGAGCGACAAGAGCACTCGTCTTACGGTCTTATGCCTGAATGTTACCTCCCGCATAGTGTGGGGAACTCTTTGAATTGACGGCACTTGGGCGTTGGTGGGGACGTCCATGGTGGAGTTGGCAGCAAAGATCTTGGCTAGCACTTCCGCCTTGGCCTTCGAGTCGAATACAATAGTTCCATCCTGACACGTAAGTGGTGGAAGGCTACTGTGTGAGAAGTTCTTTTCAATCTGCTTGGCCAGCGTCCAGAAAGACCGACTGCCATTGCGCTGCGACATTACCCTGTGCCTAACTTTTATATCATGCTGGGTTTTGGCATTGCGAACCGCTTCGTTATATTTGTTTCTGGACTCGACGTCGGCTTGTCTGTTCTCTACAGTGGGGTTTTGTAAGTAGGTTCTGTGGGCCTTGATCTTCTGCTGGCGAGCAGTGTCACACGATTTGTTGAACCAGCCGTTGGACCCTGGTTTAGGAACTTTCACTGTGTGAGGGATGTATTCCTCCATTCCGACGTGGATAATTTCGGTTATTGAAGAACAGACAGTCGACGCATCCGCGTCAGTGAAACAGACATCTCTCCAAGGAAAGCTAGAGAAGAAGTCTCTGAGCCCCTCCCAGTCGGCATGTCCAAAATGCCAAGTTTTGCGGCCTGTGCGAGTTTCTGCTGCCACAGCGGCTTCTGACCGAAACCTAACCTCCACAACACCGTGATCTGAGTTACCCAGGGGGGACAGGACAGCAGTGCTGTAAGGGGCAGGATGCGTGGTCAGAAAGAGATCCAGCAGGCTACTGGCGTGTGACGAGACGCGGGGGAAAAAAGTAGGGCTCGTGACCAGCTGGGTCAGCCCTTGAGTAAGAGCGAACGCTTCGACTGCACGACCTGCTGCATCGGTCTTATTTGAGCCCAACCAAAGCTCATTATGGGCATTGAAATCACCGAGAAGAACTACCTCTGAAGCGGGGTGATTGATGTTCAGGAAGTCGATCTGGACGGCGAGGTATTCGAGTAGGTCATCCCAGTTATGGTTCGAGGGAGAGCGATAAAGGCAGCAAATAAATTTGGGTGATGTTTTGGAGCTGAGGCGAAGCCACAGAATGTCCTTCCGGTCTGATTCCAAAGAAAAATCCCTGGAGCAGGAAAGACTGCTGCGGACAAAAGCCACAACTCCCCCGTTCTTTCTCAGATTGGAGTGCACCTCGTAGTTTGGGAAATTGAGATGGTTAATCGGTGCAGTCTCTGAGATTTTTGTCTCCGCCAAGAAAAGCATGGCGGGACGATTGGATTGCACGTAGTGATGAACAGCATCAATGTTGCTGTTGATCCCGCAGATGTTCGAAAAACAAGTTTTATCTTCGATGTTGTTCCCTCGAGCCCACCCTCCACCCGGACATTCCGAGAGTGAAGTGAGTTTACGTCCGGAGTTTTTAGTGCTCGAGGGATCCATCATCATTAATTTCTTTGTTTTGGTAGATTACCGACTGCATAGCTTAGGTGTGGAAACATGCGGACATTTATAAGACACCCTGGGAAAAGCTAGCGGGTGGTACTGCCTCGGTCGACTGGTCCTTGTCTACCACCTTCTTTTTACATATTAGTGATGTTAAATAGACCCAAAGTGGCCCGTTTAGTGATGTTAAATAGAACCCGGACTTGTACCGCCACCCGGCAATCGGTACTGAGGTATTCCTTAACGCGTGCACAATCACTTGGACGGGAAGAAGTTGTATACTGGATACAACAACTTCCGGAACAAGCATTTGCCACGGCCCTCGCTCAGTAGGGGTGGAGTTTGTAAAGTTTGTTTTGTGTGTACCGCGAAAGAAGTCAAGCGAACGGGGCACTTGCCTGTTGAGAATGCTGTGAAAAATCCCAGTCTCCGACTCCTCGTTGTTCACTGCCCCTATAGCGGCCAAATCAAGAAGTTTTTGTACATCCGTTTCGTCAAAGACACCTTTACAGCCAAAGTATTGCGGTTGCAGCGTTGTAGGGTACAGCTTTAAGGTCACAAATTTAAGGTTATGTCCACGTTATTTCTCATGCTGTTGTAATACCTCTTGGCCCAGTGGCACGGAAATTAAAACGTCACGGTCCTGTCCTCCGATGGATGTGTCGATTGGTTTCAAGAATCACGCATCCTCCACCAGCGCAGTCGATCGAGAGAATAATGTCCGATTGTTTCTTGGAAGCGTCCGCCATACTGGATAACGGGACCGGTGATGGCCCATCACACAACGCACCGACGCTCAGAATTTTGAACGTCTCACATATGATTACGCCACACAGGATACGGAGGTGCGGACATTGCAACCAAATTGGTTATTGTTCAGATGACACCCGATGAGTTCGACAAACTCTGTTGCATGTCAGGATCTTTGGAAATTTTTCCTCGCAGTACCGGAAACAGAACAGTGCTTCTTAAATTTTAAATCTTCAGTTCGTTGACTGTCAAAGGAGCGGCCGCGGCGATGGATGGCCAGAGGAATCTATTCATTAGAAATAGCGTTACTAAGTTCTCAGCTAAAACTTTCTGTAAAGGTTAGATACCAGCCTGTTCATCGTAACAGCATACGAGAAACCCTGGTTGCAATACACTTTAGCGGTAAAAGCACCTAATCAGGTTGTATGCTTTTTAAAGCTAATGAAGGCTTACGAAATAATTTGTCACGTGCTGAAATCACGTAACCCTTATTTTTACTGTTTTTATCACTATGAGTAATTTGAATTTCTCTTTATTGATTATAGAGTGCCCATTCCTGGACCAAACCCCTTTTAATGATTTTCTTTTGTCAAATTCCATAGTTTATCGATTGTCGAATTTCTCCCGTATTATATCTGTCATTCTCAGCGATTCAATATTGTATCGAAATCTTTCTTCTATCTGAGAAATTTCCTCATGAAATATTGTTGGCCCCTCGTAGACAGATTTGTTTCTGCCGTCGTTCTGCCCAGTGGCGACCAGCGCGCCACCTTGTGACTTTGCACGTACTAGCAGTATAGGGACATTTCGTTCTATCAACATACCTTCTTCAAGGCCATTCATTTAACCTTCTTTTAATGTTTACTTTCCTATCAAGATACCTTCTATTAAAATTTGATTTATTATCAAGTCACCTTCTTTTAAAATGTGATTTACTATCAAGATACCATCTTTTAATTGCGTTCAATGCCATTTTAATTTTGCTTTTCCGCTGTGATTTTGGTTGTGTGTCGGCGTTTTTTCGTTAACTTCCAGATTTTGGGATATTAAGGCCCCAAGCTCCAGTTTATGGAGTAGTATCCCTTTATCTTGTACCTTGTACGTTTAGTTGTGTTGGTTAGGGTACTACCCCGTCCATTTGTGGCTTAACCCCCCTACTCTTCGCTTTATTGAGCTAGGGCCTACATTTGCACGGCACTTGACAGCTGTTTTGCTTTGACTGACCCTTAGATTTCATTTATAATAATTTATTAATTTATTAATATATTCAAACAGAAAAAAAGGAAAGAGGAATCACACCGCCATTTCCTCATATTTATAAAAAAAGGCGTGGCAAATTGACAAAACCATTTCAAAAGCAGCTTTAGAATGGTTCTGAAAAAAAGTATGGTAATTGACAGATGAGGTCTCAGTCTTATCTCTGCTGACGACGACGTAGATGAGAAAACTAAAGTAACAATAAATTTTCCTTGTCTTCCTTCTATATATATATATTAATTTCTTCTTGCATATTATGGTTACCATCATTTTCAAAAGGACTCGAATTGTTAGAAGACAATAAAATTGATTGATCCAGTTCGATTACGTCTTCATTTAATAAAGTAATTTTTAAAATATTTTCGGAATTATCTAGATCAAAAGTATTGTCACTTGAAGTAATGGATATTGGCATAGACCCGATTTCTTCCTCAGAATAAACATTATTCGATTCATCATTTTGGCTAAAAACCGCCAAAATCCTGTTTGTTCGTGAACAGACCATAGACATAATCTAAAAGTAACCGAGCATTTATGAATATATAATAGAAACAAATACAACAGTCTTTCTCTAACTTCAACCGATTCATTCCTGTAAATTTCTCACAGGCTTCGAGGTTATGACAGAATAACTTCTAATAAATAAACGAAATTAAACATGAAATGGGAGTTTTATAGGTAGGTACATAATATTAGTTAAGGTTTTAATATTTTTAAATTCTAACTACAAAAAAACGTTTTTTTTAACTTCAACCGATTCATTCCTGCAAATTTCTCACAGGCCTTGAGGTTATCACACAATCATTTGTAATAAATGAACGAAATTAAATATGAAATGGAATTTTATAGGTATGTACCTACATAATATCAGTTAAGATTGTCATATTTTTGAATTCTAACTATAAAAAAATCTCGTTATTATTTACTCACCTAAAATCAATAATTAGTCGATGGTAGCACGAACCTAACAATGTCGTAAGCCAAACACTGACTGCGAAAATCTGACGTAAGTCGCAGAAACCGACAGAGACTTACGTTATTATGGCGGTAAAAAACGTTAGCTTGCATTACTATGATGGAAATAGTGTTAAAGTTACGTTGCTTTTACGGATATGATTTAAAAAATTCTGGACATACGTTTTCAAAAAAAGTTAAAAACAAAGGTTTAAAGTAAAATCTAGGCTTCCTACACTTTGGCAGTATGTTCTCAACAATAAAAGCCTTACGTTAATGGAAAAACACGATTTTCACCAAAAATGTCACTTACGTTACTTTGGCAAAAATGCATCGATATGGTCCCGATCATAAGTGCTAAGGGTTTCTTTACTTTCCCGAAAATTGAAAACAGACTGCGTGGTCAAAGGTTCCAGTCACGAGAAGATGCAGTTAACGCATTCAAAAATGCCGTTTTGGATCCGCCAGCAAACGATTGGAATAAGTGCTTCGAAAATTGGTTCGAGCGCATGCAATCTTCATGGAGAATACTTCGAAAAACAATAAACTCATTTAAAACTATATATACTATAACTATCTAAAACTGTAATGACTCATCGATGTTCACGTGAACATCACTTAACTACCAGTAGTCGGCTGTTCATAGGCGGGGTATGAATGTTTAACATGGGTGAACTAGATTTGTCACATGCTTAATAAAGAGTGGTTTGAAACATATTGTAAGTCAAAAATTTGGGAATTACCTTTATTCATCGTCGCTTCCACTTACATCTGACAGTAATAAAGTGTCGCTATCGCTTTCCTCGTTGAAATTGACTATAACTGGCTCTATGATGGTGTCGATGTGGTGGTCAAGCTGCCACATTTTTGTTTCTTCCTTCACAACATGACGGATGGCATTCTGCCAAGCTTCGGGCGTTACTAGCTGTATGGAAGTCTCAAGTAAAACCTTAACGTCTGGTAATTTGAAGGTTGTGTTATGGCGCGCAATATAACCCTTCACTTGAGCCCAGATGAGCTCTATTGGGTTCAGTTCACAGTGGTAGGGCGGTAACCGCAGCACAGTGACACCACATTGACGGGCCATCTCATCAGTCACGTAACTAATGTTCGCAGGTTTGTGCTGTTTAATTTTTTCATACAATTCCGCTTTCACACATGAATCGTCAAACGGGAGTCCTTTTTCGCGCAACCATTGCTGCATGTCACTTTTTCGAGATCCCATAGTCGGTACACGTTCGGCTCGACGACTATGGTAGGAAGCATTATCCATGACGATCACAGAGTTGGGCTTAACTCGCTGAAGCACCCCTTGAAACCAGCTCTCGAAGCAGCTGGCATTCATTTCGTCATGGTAATCACCTCCTTTCTTAGAGACGAAAATCAAGTCACACTCTTCTAAAAAGCCACTATCGCTACCAATATGAGTTACGATCAATCTTTGACCTTTCCCTGACGGTCCACGAAGACCTGTTGACAAACCTTCAATGCTTGCTTGTCGGTTACTCACTACGTTTTTGTCTATCCAGGTTTTTTTAACTGTGTGACCTGCATTTACCCATGTCTCGTCCAAATAATAGATTTTTCTGCTTTGTCGCCTATATTCAATCATTTCGCGTAGGTATTTTCGACGCCAGGCAACTATTTCAGGTATCTCTATCAATACTGACTTCCGATAACGCGTTTCGTAACGAAAATTAATTTCGTGCAGGGATTTCCTCATTACCTCGACGCTCATTTGGGGAATAATTTCATTTTCCTTGATCGCTGCATGTACAGCCTTGAGGGTTGGTATCTCATTCCTAAAGAAGAATGAATGTACGATTCGCCTTAACGCCATTTTGCTATCGTCATCCAATTTAACAACCTTTCGTCCCTTCAAATTAAACTTTGGATCAGTAGTAGCTCCAGTTTTCTTCTTTTCATGCACCACCCTGCGAATGGTCCACTCTGGAACGCCTGTCATACTTTCACAACGCGCTAGTGCATCTCCCTGTGACATAGTTCTGTTCAGATAATTGAACACGTTGAGCACGATTTATTTCGCGTCCCTCTTCAGTGCTTTACGAAGCCGTCTACTTGTTCCCTGGCTTTCAGTACTTCCACTCGTGCCATTTGTACTCTCCATGGTTAAGTATAACCAAAACAGTAACCACAGAAACCACAACAATAACAATCACACAACAATTCTTATAAAAACACACAATATGCGATCGCTCAACGAAACACGTTCCAATGCGTTGCCGACGCCTATGAGTCTGCCGGTCGAGGCGCGTCTTTGATTTCATTGGTTCTACCGGCGGAGAACAATCAGCCATTATTTCCATCTCTGTCTGTGCTGTTGACCACCGCAAAGCCACAGAAACGACATATATGTCGTACGCTATACGGCTGTACTGGAAGGAAGCCGGGATCGAGCTCTGATCACGTGTTGATCACGCGTATGAGTCATTACAGTTTTAAATAGTTGTAGTATACCTACCTTGTTTTATTTCCATATGCAAAACTTAAAAGACATCCCTCGTACATAATCGTCGACTATTACATAAGAAACTCATCCTGTTCGCTAACAGTATGTAACGTTTCATATCACACAGTCGCAGCTTAATGATACCTAATGTAACAACAAATAACAACCAGTCTATGGTTTTGTCTTAGTTAACCGAAAGTCGGTCGGATGACAGACCGCCACTATTGACGACATTTTGCTCTAACTAATGATTATAGACAGTGGCGTGCGAGGAGAACCTTTCGGGAAAAAATAGTCAAGATTGTTACTCCACAATTAAATACCAAGGCGGTTGTTATCCCTCAGAAACTAGGTCAGTCAAACGTGGAGCTAAGGAGACACAAACTCACGAGGCACACACAGACATGTATTGAACAAAAAAATGAGAAACATTTAAAGATCGCAAGATCGGGTAGTGGGCCGCGGAATTCTTACACCAGATCACCGGAAATAGCACCAAGTCACATTCAGCTCTCGTATTTAAAGTCGACAGAAATTATACTAAGTGACATATAAATCCGAACATCCAGTTTAAATGGTTTTATTTTAATGTAGTAATGGGTATAGTTGAGCTATGGCTGGTCTAGTCTTTGCGATGACAGCTTCTATGTGGTCTTTCCAGGTGAGGGACTTGTCAAATACGATCCCCAGATATTTGACTTTGTCGCTTCACTGGATATCTTCGTCGAAGATGGATGCTTCGAGAGGTCTTGCAATCCTTCTTCGTTGGATGAAGATTGCCTGCGTCTTCTGGACGTTGATGCGGATTTTCCATTTCACGCACCAGTCCTGGATGTGGTCCAGTTCATCCTGTAGTCTCCTACGGATGATCTCGGGTCGTCGATGCTTGGCGGCTATAGCAGTGTCGTCTGCATATAGGGCCAGCATTGTGTCAGCTGTCTTCGGTACGTCGTGAGTATAGATGTTGTAGAGCAGGGGGGCTAAGGCTGACCCCTGGGGCAGGCCTGCTTCCAGCTGTCGTCTTGTTGAGTGGCATGTACCAATCTTCACCGTGAACCATCTTTGTGTTAGATAGCTCTGGATCAGTTGGCACATGTTTGCATCGATTCCGGCGGCTTCCATTTTGGCGATGAGTCCATTGTGCCAAACTCGATCGAAGGCTCGTTTCACGTCCAGCAGGACGAGGCCGGTTGCCTCCTGGAGATTGAAGCCGCTGGTGATGTTTTCTGTCAGTCGTAGCGCTTGGAGTTCCGTGTTGTGAGAGGATCTGAAGCCGAATTGCTCTGGGGGGAGAAGTTCCAGTTCTTCTGCCTGCTTCTCTAGTCGAACGGCGATAGCCTTTTGGACTACTTTGCCCATCGAGGAAACCAGGCTAATGGGCCGGTAGTTCTGGGGCAACTTCCGGTCCTTGCCTGGCTTGGTGAGCATTATAACCTGGGCTTCCCGCCACCGCCGCGGGAAGTGGTTAAGTCTCAGAGTGGCATTGGCGATGTTGGTGAGCGCAGCAATGCCTTTGGAGGGAAGGTTCTTCAGCATCCTGTTTTTGATGCCGTCCCTTCCCGGCGATTTTCTGACCTATAACCTGCGGATGATCAGACGGATTTCCTCTGGACTGGAGGGGTGATCCGTCTCCTGGCCAGGTGGTCGACTCCTCATGATTTCGGCTGCGACTTCCACGGCCTCCTCGTGGTTGTCATCCTCGTCTTCATGGTAACTGAGTCTGCATTCGGATTCTAGCGAATCGGCGAATGCTTCGGCTTTTTCTTCACTGGAGTAGGCCAAGCCGCGTTGGCCGTGAAGAGTAGGAATCGTGGCGCGCTGACGACGAAATTTTCTCTGCATAGTCCAGGCCGTACCATCCTGGGTCTCTAGTTCTGCACAGGCTGCATTCCATCTGCTGTTTAGGAGTTCCGCGAGTGCGTTCTTCAGAGCTAGCGATGCTCTGTTTCGCGCAACTCTCGACTCCTCTGTCAACAGCTGGAGATGTTCTTGCTTGAGTCTTCTGTTCTCCCTGATCAGGTGCCTAATATGGTGCGGTGCTGGACCATTTAGGTGACTAGGAACTGCCGTAGTCTCGGAGCGGGTGCTGTCCTCGTGCGCTCGCAAGACAGCATTCTCCAGCTCCTCTACTGCGTTGTCCAGTTCCTCCACTGATCGGATGGTTGGAATTTGAGTGATGTTCCTTTGGACGTTGGATTTGTACAGGTTCCAGTTCGTCCGTTTGGTGCTCCAGCTATCTCGAGTTGTAGACCCTGTGCCAAGTGTTAGTAGGATCGGATTGTGGTCCGACGATCCTTCCACCAGGGTCTCTATCTCGAACTCCTCTCTGATGTTGCGGAGGATGGCTATGTCCAGTACCGCAGGTCGCCCAAGGCCGAATGGAATGTAGGTTGGTTGCTCCGGACCGACGATGACCTCCGCCAGGGCATCGACGTGTTCTTGGAGCTGCCTTGCATTCCTGTCTTCGACGTTGTTGTTCCATGCCGGAGACTTGCAGTTTAGATCTCCGATGACTATGCGTGCTCCTGGGCCTCTCAGGAGGTCAGCGATGTCATCTTCGTCTAGGGCCTCCCCTGGTGGCATATATAGGGAGGTGATTCTGTAGGGACGGTGATTGTGATGGACCTGGACCGTGATTCCGTCCCCATTGATGTCTGCGGCGTCGTCGAGGACATGACTCGTCAAGGTACGCTTGACAAGTAATGCGACTCCTCCACCTCTGCCTCTTCTGTCGTAGCGGTACGTCTCGTACCGCGGGAACGTCAGACTATGGGCGGCATCCAATTTCGTTTCTTGGATGGCCATCACCTCTGGTTGGTACTGGTCTAGTATCGCCTGGATTCCTGGTTTCCGTGCCCTGAATCCGTTGATTCCAGGAGATAATGCGTAGAGATTCTACGTTTTGCCCTGTAGTCATTTCGGGTCTAATGCTTGTCTTGCATCTTGGCCTCGAGTGCATCCAGGCGGGTTATGATGGCTTGCATCATTGCTAGCAGTCTGTCATCGCCGTGTTGCTTCTGCGCAGTAGTTCCAGTAGCAGTGGCGGCTGCTGGGGCAGAAGTGGACATAGTTTTCTTCGCTTTTTGAGCGTAAGAGGTCCTATTTGTGGTGGGGACTGCTTTGGGGGCAGCGGCAGCTTTCCTCGGGGCCTTACTACATCCTTTGTAGTTTGCTGGGTGTCCTTCTCCGCAAAGGCAGCATTTGGCATTTCGTTGCCCTGTTGGCGGTGTCGGCAGACTGCAGTTGGTGCTGCTGTGGTCCTTACCACACTTTAAGCACCGTTCAGCGAGACGGCAGTTTCGCTGCGTGTGTCCGTACCGCTGGCAGCGGTAGCATTGGCTGGGCTCGGTGGATCTCTTCTTTCTCTCGAAGCTGACCGTGAGCATGGCCAGCCTCTGGATTTCTAGAAGCTTTTCAGGCATCTTCGTCTTGACGAGGAAGAGCGGAAGTGGCTTCTTGGTGGTCCTTGAGGTCATCTGTTGAACCTTGGCGTTTGCGATATCTTTACTCACTAGATCCTCTTTGATGTCATCGACTGACATCTCCCTGGGTAGTCCACGAATGACCCTCTGGTCCATCCTGTCCTCCTTCAGTTGATAGGTGAAGAAGGGCCGCTTCATGGAGTCCAGCAGTGCGACTAGCTGACGGTAGTCAGCTGGTGTGTTTGTGAACACCTTCACACTGTTACCCGCCATCCTCACCTTGGAGAATTGGATTCCCTTGTTGTTTATCATCCTGCTTAAGGATGACCAGTCAGCGGTGCCCTCGATGCTGCTGGGGGGAACTCCTGTTCCCGACATGGGGGGCACGATGGTCCTGGCTGCTCTAGGACTCTTCTTGGTGGCGAAAGCTGGCTTCTTTGGCTGCCTTGGCGACTCGTCTTCGGAGGAGGAAACTCGCACCCGCTTCCTCCGTCTGGTGGCGCCAATTCAAATGCTCCGCAAAATTTTATACCGAGCACCGACCGACTAATCAGATATCGTACTTCGCATTAGATCTGTACGGATCTGTATGACGTGTAGCACATGCTTATGCTTAGATGGCGCAACTGATTTTGTAAAGAGAGACAGGAGCAAGCGCGTGCGGCTTGTGTCGAAGTAGCGCACAGACCCTTTTCAAGTGGCCCATGAATAATGTTACGCTGCGGTCGCGACGAAAATGACAAGTACACAATTGGTCGATTATACTGCTTTCTCAATACAAAACAGACTCGACGCTGTGTCTTGCGGGGGCAGCGTTGCCGGTATTGCTTCTTTTTGTCTGATAACATGGGAAATAAATAAAGATCAAATTACTGCTGCTTTTTTCTGTTAAGACAAAACTTTTGGCAGTTCTGCAGCTCTGCAGAACTTAAGGGCCAGCCGCTCCTGCCTCAGTGACGCCTCTGCCTGCGCCAGACAATCCGAAACGTAAATACCCACCGCCGCGCCAAGGAGGAAAAACTGAAACTGATGGCAGTATTGCTTCAGGTAATTAGACTAATATTGTAGTCTGTGCGCACGTTAAAGAGCCCGTTACTAATTTTTAATTTTGTTTCTAGAGTGGATTACATATTGCTGGCTGTGCCAGCACCGACGATTTCGTCCTCTTTTTTGCCCGCAACAACTCGCGTATAATTCGTAATTAGCCTCATACACTGGATTATGTCACACCCATCGAAACAGCGAACAGAATTTGAGGAAGAATCTCTCGTTACAGTTGTATCATCGAAACCGACCGAGTGTGATCAGGTGTTTAAAAATTCGACCCTTACCTTCGAGATCTCGGAAACTGTGAGACGTATCTACAAAGTTGCAAAGGGCAAAGTTACATATTTAGGTAATTAAGAAATTGCCGCTTAGAAACGAAAAGTAGGGGAGATCGGTGACGGTTGTAACATTCTACCTACTGCGCACAAGCACGTAGCCTCGTCCGCCAGTTGTTTGCGAATACTATCAAGCTATCAAGAAATACATAGCCGCTAATTACAAAGTTGCACCTTTCATCAAGAGGTATCATATTGCTTGTTGTTCTACGGACTTTCTTCAAGAAGCAGGCGTTGTTGTCTTGCCTTGGCCACCCCGTTCACCGGATTTAAATCCCATCGAACATGTGTGGGATATGATGGGGAGGAGACTATCGACTTTGCACTATCCGCCACAGACTCTGCCACAGCAAATCCACGAAGTTCGATTGCTTGGAATGACGTGCCACAACCAGACGTCGACGTCTAGACGTGTAGCTGCGGGGTCGCCCAACACCCAACACATTATTAATTTTTTTCCCATTACCTGTCAATAAAATTTCGCGACAATATAATCGTTTCATTCTTGATGTAAGACTAACTCATTGCCAAAAAATCAAGTAGAAGAAATTACTTTTTCTGGGTGTTACTGATATCAGTGAGTATATATAAGTATTTCATTCAATCCATTTTATGTTCAAACGAATAATCATACAAAACTTTCTTTAGAGAGTCTATGGGATAAAAACTTTGCTGTACGAAGAAATCAATGACAGGGTGCGCATCTAAAACAAAGGTACGTAATCATATTAATTATTCTCAAAATAACTCACATTACAATAACCGTTTTGCATCAACAATTTATTCAGATGAAAGTCATCCCGATTATTTTGCATGGATTATCTGTCAGTTCACGCCGCCAACTACACAACAAATTCTTGGTAGAAACATTTTGAATCTTTATGTGTGTTGTGGTTTTGATTTTGAGACGAATCTTATAAGCAGAAACCATATTGTTGAATAGTAGTTCTATCAAAGTTCTATACTCGATCTGAAAAGCTGTCCAATATGATGAAAAGGAAAACAAGATTCACACCATCGAATTTGTCATCCAAACTGGCAAAAATAAAAACAACTTCTAATTTCGTGAGGAAGTCTTCATGGATGTGGCGACAAATACCCGTTTAACACTTTTGAAAAATGGAGAAACCCGTGGATTTATTGTCAATATAAAACGGATATAAGAATATCCATCCCCAATTCGCAAAGAAACATCAGTTACCCTCACCCGATCTAATAATCGTCTGTGCGCCTCTGTTCTCCGGAGAAAAACGGTGGGCGTGGCCACCGCAGCCTCCTAAGCAGAGGGAGTGTCGTGGACCAATCGTCTGCGACGCAGCATCCAGCATCCACGCTACTGGTCCAGATCGACGGCCGACAGCAAATAGAGCGGCACGTTCAATCACGTACGGTGACCAATCCGGTGAGATGCAGTGCGTCGCGAGACAAGGCAGAGGTGTGGGAGAGAATCGCGTGATACAGGGCGGCTCATTTCAAGCTAAAAAATGATTTCATGAGAAAAATGTGAAGTGATGTTTGGAATAAAACACGGTTTTCAGGAACACATCATTGTAGGTCATAAGTATTGTACATTACATATACTAAGTGACATATAAATCCGAACACCCAGTTTAAAATAAAAATAAAAATTTCAAAATGATTGCACTGCTTTAAAGCCCTTTGACCTTTAATAATGTGTGGATGCACCCTGATGTGCTACGCATTCTCCAACGCGCCTAGGCATGCTTCTGATCAGGTGGTCAATGTCCACCTGTGGTATCTCATTCCAGGCAACCACCAACTCCTCTCGAAGTGCTTCTAGAGTCTGAGGAGGACGTTGCAAATTGAGCAATCTCCTACCCATCATATCACACACGTGCTCAATTGGGGATAAGTCGAGAGATCTTGGTGACATCATTATGTTGAAAGAAGTCTATTGTGACTCTTGCAACATGTGGTCGGGCATTATCTTGTTGGAAAGTTGGATCTGCCAGGGTGTCAAGATAGGGTAAAAGATGGGGTTCTAGAACTTCGTGGATATAACGCTGCGCGTTCATGTTACCTCTGATGAAGATTAAAGGTGACCTGGAACCATTAGCTATAGCACCCCAAACCATAATTGCAACAGTGTGATGAACATGTCTTTCAACAAAAAACTGTGGATTCCTCCTTTCACCACGTCGCCTTCTAACCCTGGCACGACCATCGTGCATGCCTAAACAAAATCGAGACTCGTCACTAAAGACAATACTGTTCCATTCCTGATCCCAGAGTGACCGTTGTCTGCACCACTCAAGGCGATTACGTCGGTGTTCTCGAGTTAAAGGGAGGACCCAGTGTGGCCGGTATGAAAACAAGCCAAAACTTCTCATTCATCGGTAAACACTTCGCATGCCAATAGGTCTTCCGTGTTCTGCAAACCATTCATTTGCAATGGACCTGGTAGTGGAGAAACGGTCCCTTAAGGCCAATAATGTTAGGCGGCGATCTTCACGGTCTGTTGTTCTACGGCGGCGTCCAGTGCCCCTTGCTCTTTGCGTACGGCCTTCTCGAAGCCATGCCTGACCTAACCACAGTGTCTACACTTCTTTGCACTCTAACTGCAATTGCCCGAAAAGAAAGTCCAGCTTCCCGAAGTCCCACTATACCATACGGTCCCTATCAAACTCACTAAGTTGACGAAATCGTACAGGTCTCCGTACTCTAGGCATCGTAACCGATCGTAAAGGATGTCAAGAACCAAAATCCGCCAACGTTGATTCTTTACTGCGGCTGAAATATTCATTTTTAGAGCGTTAGTGAATTAAAAAAAAGCAGTATACAAAACGGAATGTCCAACTGATAAGGCTGAACTTTTATTAAAATAAAACCATTTAAACTGGGTGTTCGGATTTATATGTCACTTAGTATACATATACAGGGCGACCCAACAATGCATATACGAAATGTTGCTTTCTTAAAAAGATCTTTTTGTAGATACATGTTGGTGGTTGGTAACAAACTTTGAAAATATCTAGTAACTTTGCACTAGCATCTTTATATCAAGGCTGTATTGCCAGTTCTCTATACTCTATTTTTTGTTATATATAGCTGGGTATATTTTAGAATCTTAATTAATATTTTCTAAACAACTAGCTGCATATGGCGAAACAGGAGACCGTTAATTGAATACCCTAGCTCCAATAGCTAGTGATAGTAACGATTGTACCTAAGAAACTCGTCATCTAGAATAAATAAGACAACATTTGGCCTAGCAGATCTAACTGAAATTCTGAAAATTAACCACGTCACCACCTAATGAATATGCATTGCGAGAATTCTCAGTATTTATTGGTCAATTGTATCTGTCGGTATTTCCAGCCACCAATTCATCTTTTATTTTTGGCGTTGCCATTATCATCAGCTATTGAATCAACTGTCGAAAACTCACTGTGGTGTATTTATCAACAAGGCTATCTTCAGCTTGCAAAATAATATTTATCTACAGGGTGATTCACTTGAGTCAAGCGTCTTACTTATTTCCACATTTTGGTTGAATGTGAATTGAAACGCTGATGTCAATTTCATCGACTTTCGTTGGGCAAAGAAAAACGCAAATGCAATATATTTATATTCGAACGATTCATTCTTGAGAACGATGTCTGGTAGACGTCTCAGGGCGCTCCACTACACTTTCACGATCTCTCTCGATATTTTCCGGAGTACGAACAGTTCGAACACGGCCCGACCTTGGCAAGTCTTTAACTACTACTAGTGAAATTCGTGTATCAAAAATGGAGCGCAATTTAAGTCAGTCAGTTATACAGGGTGGCGCATCGAAAACGAAAAAGTTTTTTTTTTGAAAAACGCTCAGACCCATCGATTTTGTTTTCGAGGGGGACACAAGTATAAAATTAACGTACTTCAGTTCAGTAGTTAGTTGACATCCTTTACGATCGGTTACGATGCCTA